TTTCACTAGACATTTTTATTGGAAGTTTTGGATATATTTGTTCTGAAAATAGCTACAGCTAAAACCTTCTGACTTCTCCAACTTTGCACCTTGGAGAGAAAAGCAGTCAAGTTTGAATAAGTTGGGTTTAGTATTCTGAGAATGACGAATGTTAAAATTTAGTTTGTTCAGATAAATACACACGAAAGGCTGGTCTTTTTCATGTATACACAAGACCGGAACAGTTTCTATTTGCTCCTTCATGGTCGCTTGTCCTGGAATAGGTTAGAATGCTGAACACGCATAGATAAGGATGCCTTGGGTTTTCCTCTCTTCTATTATATTTCTTCTTAAAAAGCACAGGGATATGATGCAACTCTAGAGCAGTTTTAAGTCATTAAGTAGTATGCAGACACCTTAACTGCAATTTAGTATGGTGTTAAGAGCACACCCATCCCACAAGCCCACAATTACCACAGTTGTTTCAACTTCTTATTTTATCCAGTTAACAGGAAAAGCGAAACATGCAATAGCTCATCATTAGACTTCACTACAGGAAAAACCTGAAGGTGCTTCCTATTAACATTATAATAACTAGAGATGAGGGAATAATTTGCAATGATTTATCCAAAAATGTAGCCTCTTTTTCTGTTCATGGAATATTTATTGATAGCTCTTGGTTCTTCAAATTTACTGAATATTCAAAAATATTTGATTTCTTTTTGGAATATTTTTACATGCAGAATGATCACATTTTGCTTTGAACAGTCAATATTTGAAATTCACTACCTGAGCTGTGCTCATTAGTAAGTGGCCAGGTGTGTGTTAGTGAATGATTGCATGTCCAACTTTAAAAATTGAGCTTCAGAGAATAATCACGTATTTTAAATACACCTTCCATGAATTCCTGTGCCAGGAAAACTCAAATGTTTTAATGTCCACTGGGAGCGAACACAAAAGAGATGAAAGCTCGGTTAAACGTAAGTAAAATACGTGAACAAACATTTGCGGACCTTTTTTCAGCATTTGCCCAGATCTAGTAACATTGGCCTACTGACCTAAAAATGAACAACCTTTGGCACTGGGGTTAATTTAGCCACAGTAACCTTATATGCATGAAATGTTCCTCTAACAACATTAAATTGCGTTACACGATCTTCACACCAGACCTTCCAAAATACCGTCTTAGTTCCTGGTTTTCCTCTTTCCATTTATTAAATTGCCTTGGCCAGGACTACAACCTTTTAATGCCCTGGTTGTATCAAAGATAGTATAAACAGCTACTGTTCTGTTCCTGAATCGACATTCAAACCCTATTAGTGCTAATGGATGGCATGCATGCTAGAGGGGTCAAGTTTACCACTTGCTCCAGCAGAACCAGGGGTCAGTTATGGCAACAGTAGATTTAGCCAGCGGACATGAATCAGTAATGCAAAATACAGCTCTTGAGATGACAATTTGTCTACATTTTAAGTCACTGTAAAGCTTGCATTGATTTAGAGGAAGCAAGGAGTTCCTTCCTAGTTTTAGGAGTTACATTTGAAGAAGCAAACTCATAGAAGAACAAAAGAAATGATCTAGTGAAAACGTTCCTCTCAGATCTGGTATCTCAAAACCAAAGGCAAAGGGCACAGTACTAAAACACCACCAGATTCTGCTCTTTGGGCACTCCTTACTACCTGATTAGCCTTGACATTTTTGACTTTCATCTTCCACACCATTCATCTTTTAAACTCAAATAAGCCCAAAAGGACACTCTTGAAAGTGCATCTGAATAGTCTGAAATATGGTAATAATTACAGTAATTAAACCAAAGGGAATTTTTGTTTTAAATTCTCCCCTTCCAAGTAGAAATTTATGAACATAGCAAAACAATCTTTAATAATTAGAATGAAGATTTCAAAGTACATATTCTTGATAAGAATCATTTTATATCATCCCAGCCAAAAGCAAACCTTTTTGCCAGCAAGTTCAGTGAGTTCAATGAACTCTTTCCTCTCAGATCTTGAAGTATATTACTCAAGGCACCTCCAAACTTCATTCCCTAATTCAGTGTAATAAACATTACCCTATTTCAGCCTACCCTTCTAAGGAAAAAAATTGATCTATGTATCACACTGTCTACCATCTCAGCAAATAATGAATCTGTTGACCAATTCCAATCAAATTTAGCAAGGGTGTAGAATTCTCACAGATATGAAATTGCTTCAATATTTACAAAAATAGGTGACCAGGGAGAAAAGATAAATTCAAACTAGTGGACTTGCTAGAGAAAGTCACAGAAAACCAGACTTCTTCCGTTCCATTACTCACGGAACACCCTGAACATCTGGAGAAAGGAATCAGCTAAAAAGGCAGGAATCAGAAGCAGAGATGCTTCTGTGCATTCAGGATATGATTGTCACTAGCCTTTAGTAACAAGACAATTACATTGCTGATCAACCAACCCTGCAAGTCATGACATCTGGAAAAAACGTTCTTCAGACCAACTCCTTTGAACATCAGTTAGGAGGCCCACAATGAAGCATGAATGTATTTTAAAACCTGTCTGGAGCAAACCAGGTACTCGGAGTTGGATAGAGCACATCAACCCAAGAACTGAACAATCTCCTGAGTCGGCTGCTATTGCCTCAGCTTCAAAGCTTCTAGGGTTTTCGGTAACTGACTGGATTGTCATACTCCTTTTGAGTTAATACACCAAGTAAGTTATCTGTGTCAGGCTACAGAGAAATAAAGCACGCACAACTAAGTAGCACTGTCAGATCAAAAAAAGTTCTTTGTGTACATATTTTCCACAGCATTTTGTACCGAAGGAGGCCTCAGAGATTGATGGTTATTTTACTGAGATTTTCAAACATGCTGAAATAGAAGACACTTTGTTTAATGATATAATGAACCATTCTTTAAATGGTATTGTGTATACCTGGACTTCTCTCAATTCTGTTGTTCATGCCTAAAGTTAAACTTTTCAAGACCTCCATTACTTTACATTGTCTTCCTCTCCTGCCCCTATTCTATCCCCTGACACATTTTTATCTTTGTTCATATCTTTTTGTCTAGCAGAGGTTACCCTTCTTCTCTGAAAGACCCTGTACTTACATATACACAAACCAATGCACAAACCACCATAGATATAAGAATATTTACTCTGATCTGCTTGACTCATAGCAGTGCAAATCATGGAAATGCCATATAATTCCTCCCCTGTGACATGAGAACTACTATTATTATATCCTCATACACACCTGTTTTCTTTCTTTATATGCCTTTGCTTCCTTTGTCAGCGCTAATATTTCCTTGAATAACAAAGTCTCCTGAGAGATAGGTATAGCATCCAAATGTTTACAAAGCCACATTGCCTGAGGGAAGAAGAAAAAAAATACAGGTCGAAATATTTGGAAAGAAAACGAAGCATTTTTTCAGAAGGCTGCAGAAATGCAGAAAACATTTTCCTAGCCTTCCATTTAAGTATACAGACTATATGTGTACCTTTAAGCAGTTTCTTATAAAGATGTTCAAGAGTCTACAGCTTTAAATAAGGTCTTTTTCACCTACCATACTATAATACAGATTTTAAAGAAGAAAGCACTCTTCCTAGCATGTACACACCATCATCTGTCTTTTCTGTGGTCAGCTTTCTCTGTGCTTCAAATACAACTCTGACATTTTTCAATTAAGTGGTACTAGTGGACAGGACAGACAACTAGCCATGCAAATGGAGCAAGCCATAATACAGGAATACCACAAATGTGTAACCATGGTACTCCTCCCAGGTTAATTAGTCATGCTAAAAATCTGGGGAAACAAGGCAGGCAGAATTTTGTTGCATTACAGCAGTATCACTACCACTACCTGAGCAAGTTCTCGTAGAGCTCACTTGAGCGTTTCCATTTGACCTGTAGTGTAATATACAGGCGTTTCCCATAGGAATGCCACCCTTCCATTTGTCTTGTGCTCCTCTATCACTTAGATCATTTTGAAAATTACTCAGAAGAAAATTTTCACAAGTCTTGAGCTCAGTAGAAAGTAAAAAGATAAACGGACAGTATTATAACATTGAAGGTAGTATACTCACAACTGTAGTTTTCCCAGAAGCAGGTGGACCAAGTACACAAATTCTTGGAGCTATGAAACAAGAATATGTGAATGTCAAGACACAGAACAGCAAAAATCCCAACCAGTTTCCTACCATTGCATTGCATAATAGAAATGTAATCACAATCACAAACCCCAATTATTCCAGTTGGGAATCTGCCTGAATGAAGACTTCAGGATTGGGCTCCACTGGGGAAAAAAAGGGGAACACTAAATCAGTGCCAGCTTGGTCTTCCTTTAATCTTCATTGTCAGTGACATTAATACTCTGACTAAATGTGCCACTTAAAGAGATATATCTCAATCAGTTTAAACATATGGATAGTTTAGTGGGTGAACCAGAGCATAAGATACAAACATTTCCTTAGATATCTAAGTTTGACTTTTATTCCCAAAACATTGATTTAGATCTAACACATTTTGTGATAAAAAAATATTGTAGCTTATACACGCAGGACAGGACTATTTAAAAGTGACTATTATCATAATCATAGAATGGATGAGATTAGACAGGACTTCTTGAGATCGTCTCTTATTTCCCTTACACAGTATGGTAGTAAAAAACACAATAATGCAAAAGAACTTTGTTTTTACTTTGGCAAAGCTTTTGGCTGACATCACAAAATGCAATTTCACTTTTTAGTTTCATTTAAATAGGTTGTGTCAGGGTTCAGAGAAGATTTAGATATTGCAAAATTAAACACACTCTCTCTACTCTTTTTGACAGCTACCTTCAATTTTTCTAGTCATCGATTTCAATTTCAAGTAATTTTCTTCTTCTCTGTATTCTGTGTTTCTCTATTGCATGTCCCTCTACTTTCCCTGAGGGGGGCAAGGTGGGAAAAATTCATCTCCGTTCTGAGGAATTCTTAATCTACAATCAGACAACACAATAGGCATTACCACTGTAAACTTCATTGGGAATGAATTACAGACAAGACAAACAAGGGAAAATGGAGTAACTCTTAGGAAAGTATTTGGGACTTTTTCCATGAACACACCTTGGGCTGCAATCCCTTGAGCTGTCATGTTATATTAACATCTTTGACGTTTTTTCCCCTATACCTCGAGGAAATAAAACAAACCAAAACAGACTAAATACAGAAGGGACTGATGAGTATTTACTGGGGGTTACATTGGTCAAAACAGAGGAGGGATCTACTCACCTCTTCAGCTTTTGATAACCAAGGGAGATACAGTGTCTGATGGCAGCAGACAGGGAAGGATGTGAAATGTATTTTTATGAGGCCTTCCATGCACTTAATAGTTATTGGGCAGGTGCAATTTTTAAACATACATGAAACCCAAATTACAGATTCATCTTTACAAAGTTATCTGACTTGGAAGGTTTAAGAAAAACTCCCCCCTTATTGGTTCTTGCAAGTGCAACAGAACTAGTACACAATGTAGAAAAATACTTTAAAAGGATACATCAGCTGTTTTTATCACCTAATTTCTTTCAAATGTAATGTGATTAAATCCTAGGGTTTTTTTTTTAATCTAACACCTTGAAACTCCAGCCCGGTACTTAGGAATTATTTATAAACAGCGTCATAAAAGAGTGCTCGGGTGCCAACACTAATCAACTTCTTCAAACCACTTCAAAGAAAATCAAAAAACCTTTCCATCCACAGATCCTTTTGAGGTTTAACTAGGAGCATGATTTAAAATTCACAAGAAAACCCTTAGGTATTGAAGCTTTAATACACAGCTTTCTTGGACAAACGTTTGATAAAAAACGAAACATACCATTATATACACCATATCATGCTTTAACATTGCCCAGGGCTACTATAAATGCTCACTTTGTACTAAATCTGGTTTTCTCTCTGCTTAGTGGCTGGCAGCAGATGGGGCAGTGTAATTCACTGATTTACTCATTTGCACACTTGCAAGACTCCTCTAAAGCATTCTCCCTAAACATATGACACAAGGGCACAACCAGGACACCACTGTATGTAATGATTAACCCCCTCCACTCAGCAAATAGGCAGTTTAATACTGGAGGTCTAAACCAGCAACTAAATGAAGTCAGGACAATCTAGAAAATGCCGCCTCCTTCATCCCATTTTTAGTCTTGATGAGACATTTTAGGATTCACTCTTCCAAGTAAATTAAGTTTTAACATTCAACAATGATATCAGTAATAACAAAATTAAGCCTGGAATAACACAAAAGAACAGCTGGACACACTGAGCTCCATTTAACTCCAAAAGATTCTACGATAACTATTAGTAGGACAAAATTTGCTTAACTTGTAAGAGAAATCCTTTGTCAAACAGGAAAAGCACATAGTACATGATGAACATTCTCGCAGAACTTTTTTACATTTCCTCAGAGGTTTCACTGTAAAGGAAGAACTCACAGAAATGCCGCTTGGATCCTGATAGCTTTTTTCCTTAGCACAAACCCAGATACAATGTAGAAAACTAGCATCTTTATATATGAAAGAATTATCAGCCTTCAGATGGTTCCGTAAGCTTTTTAGAAGGAGCACACGAAAGAAAAATAGCACAGAGCCTTAAGCACAAACACTTAGCCACACATTTGACCTATGAGATATTCAAGACAGTTGTAAGCTACAACCATCATTAGACTTGTTTATATTTAAGAGTATTTTAGATCCTATTATTAATTAAAAAGATTTTCTAACTTCACACCTGGGATAGACACAATCCTTCTTTTCCATACATCTCTGTTTGAAATTTTCTCTAGGGCTAAAACTGTCTAGCAAGGCAAGATCATGAAAATTCATCACTTTACTGATGGCTCTAATCAGGTTTTTTTTTTCCTTCTAAATAGTCAGCACCTTCCGCCATGATCAAAAAGTAAAATCAACTCTGCTACAGATTTCTCTTACATTATTTTCCATATAATTTATTCTTAAAACAACATCTAGGCTTTAATTTTAATTGGAGTTCCTTTCCTTTCTTAATAGGTTTTTCCAGACCAAAAGCAGACAGCATTTTTCCTTTGACAAACAACTGCTGTAGTTCTATCTTTAGCCTCCAAGTACTGAAGTCATGAAATGGAAACCTGCCTAATTCCGTTCAAATGATACTGTGAGGCTTAAGGACAAATGTTAGCTCAATGTGAAGAGATTTTATCAGCATTCTATCAAACCGCATGAAATTCTTCTGCATATTTTCCAAGGGTCTATAAAACAGATTGATTACTTATGCTGCCTGCATCAGAAAACGTTGGACACAATTTGCAGGATTTGATTTTTTTTTTTAAATTGTTTATATTTAGCAGCATTTCAATCAACATCCATCTGATCGCCACCACTAAGAGCTCACAGCACCTCTAGTGATAATGATTTCACTGATGCTGCAGCAGAACTTTCGTAATGGTTTACCATGGTTTTAAAGAAACATCAAAGCAACATGACACCAGCTATCCCTGACAGCTCATGCAGAACAAAAATTATAGTTCAGTTGTGCATATCCAAATATAATCTGCCTAAGGGTGAACAGTTTGTAAATCAAATAATTTGATTGAGTGTACATGCTTTTATTGTGCAGAATACAGACTTCCTATTCAATTTACCAGGTTTTGTTATACATACAAGTAGGCATGCTCACTGTTCCTTCATCTGAGATGCCACTGAGCAGTGGAACTCATTAACAGCAGCTAGTTACTAACTAATCAAAAAACAGAGAATCTGCCAGCCCAGGTAGATTAGGAAACCAAATTTACACCTGACAAAAGGAGTAATTAGCGAGCTTAAAGACAACAGGAAATATCAGATGGGGCACAGAACGCATTAATAATTGATACACTAGAACTCTTTGTTATTCCCTTAGAGGGTTTCATTGTTATAACTGTTAAAGTGCATTTTTTATTAGATTACCCACTAAAAAAAGAAATTAAAAGCATCTTACCTATTCCAAAACGTTCACCTTTTTCTTTTTTTTTTTTTCCCCTCAAGACACAGTCTGAAAAGTTTTATCCATCATCTGCCAACTGAAGCGCAGCTTTCAAACAGCTGTTTATAAATAAGGAATTGAACTATTTATGGTGTCTCAGTTTTCACTTACCATCATCGTTGTTTTCCTTTAAATGGTTTATCATATACTGAATGGGATCATCTGGCTTATGAATTAATAGTTCTTCAAGCATGTTCTGAAAATAAATAGGACAAAGTCAGAAGAAAATTTAACATAGCCATGTAGTCATGAATGTTGCATTTTTACAGCAATGTTACAACAAGGATCTTAAAGAGTTAATAAACGCTTATTTGTTTTCTTAAGGCCACTTTTACAGACAAAATTGAGACTATGAAACCTATTTTAGATGCTGAAAAACTGAACTAAAGCACGGTCAGAAAATTGCCAATTAAAAAAAAACAACCAACCTATTTGCTTTGGGTTAGTTATGGTACATATAGTCACCAGAAAGGTTTGGCTTCAGCAGTCTCATTTTGATAATGGTCGAGTCAGCATTGACATAAAAACCATACAAGGAGTTTCAAATCCAGAGTCAACTTAAATTAACATCTCTGCAGGGGAGGTTAAACCTCCATCTCAAGCACTTTCCCACCAGTTTCTGACTGACCTGCAGAAAACACAAAACCAACAACCAATCAAAGCAGCACATCTCACTTTTGTAGCCGTACTAGTCTTCCTCCGACGTGAAAAGTAAGGGAGGGTGGGGAAAAAAAAAAAAGACTTGAAGCATTTCCTTGAATGTTTATTTTGGAGCCTATTTTCATGTTAAATGTTTGAGGTTACACAGGGCCTTGCTTCAGCTCCCCCGAGAGCAGTTGGGATCTTCCGCTGATTTCAGGGAGGATTGTAGCTTTACAGGCAGAGAAAGGAATAACACTGAGAAACACTAACTCCACAGATTTTCTTACAGGACGTTTCAGCGCAGCCAAGAATTCTGTAATTAAAACTAATCATCAAGCAGCAACTAATGCTCTGACTTAGATTATCTACTGAAATGCTCGCACTGCAATAGGACATCTCTTTCTAAAAATCAGTCATAACACTTTAATATTTGCAAGTAAATTCCATAAAGTCTGTATATTCCATAAAATTTTTATATTCTAACAAATTGATTGTCTTTTATTGGAGTGGCCTATTTTCCTTTTCTCATTCATGCACTTCATTAGGATAATTAAAATACTCAATTTCGTTTATAAACTGTCTCACATGCTAGTCCTGGTGCTTCAAGATCTGGGTAGCACACAGCAAAAAGCATAAAATTTTTATTTTTCTTGGAAGTTCATTTAAAAATTATTACTTTCCAGCAACATTTATTTAAACTAAGAAATTTGAATTTGGCACTACAATTATCAGCAGCTTTAAAAATAATTAACCTAAGAAAATCTGGTGTTATTGTGATTCAAAATTGTTTAGGCTGACAGTGATTGATACTTCCACTATTTTGTGCCCAAGTTGTACCAGCACTTACATGCATGCTTTATTTTATTCAGTTCTGCCAATCTCCGTTTAATTTTACACGGGCAGTTCTGTTAATCTCTGGGGGAGGTTCACATTTTGGGTCTCAGGTTTTAGGTTTCACATTCTGGGTTTTGTAAACATTTAAGTTTAGGACAATAATTTCAAGCTGTGTTTGTTTGTACCATTATGTTGCTACACTACAATTGAAACATAAGGAGAAAACAACACTCTGAGTAAACCCCATAAGCATTTATGTCATATGAGGTCCTGCAGCTGCACTCAACGCCTTATCGTGTGCGAAACACAGTATTTCCATAAAAAAACCTATAAATATTATGCCACACTGGCCATACTAAATGGCCTCGAGTTACATGAAAAAAAGAAAAGAGGAGAAAAAAGGAAAGGAAAGAAAAATAAGCATTTGTGTGTTTTCCAGTGAGATTCAAAAAAGCAAAAAGGCTCTGTAACGCAGAGAGTTACGAGTTAGCAGGTACACGGGGAGTCTCTCCAACAAGTTCTCTTATCAGAACAGCACCAGAATATTTAGTCCCTCGCACAAACCTCCCCATGCTCGACAAAAGGTGGTTTTTTTCCAGACTTACAGAACAAAACATTCCTTTCTCTAAGGCAGGGAAACCAACCTTGCTATCTACTGAAATCACAGCGATCTTAGAAGTGTACTTCTTTACTTTTGACACACATCTCCACAGAAGAGCCACAACAGCAGAAGGAACGCACGGAGAATCAGTTTTAAAGGGATGATGCTGATCAGCAGTGTTACCTCCCCAGCCCCCGTCTCAGGAAGGGCAAACCCCTTCATCTCGGTTTTCCCCGCGCATCATTTGTTACTGCCTCCTCTTCCTCCCC